GCCCCCACACTGGGGATCCCCAGGGACTCCTCCCAGGTCCCCCTCCTCACAGGGCGATGCTCACCTCGGAAATTGAGTGCAGAAGCAAAGGTCTGGTGCATGGGGATGCTGATCCTGCAGGGACACGGAGGGGAGAGCTCAGTGCTGACAAGCTCCAGCCCATAGGTTGGTACCCCCAAAAAGCAGCTGACTCTGCTGGTCTCCCCACCTCGTCCTGCCCCCTGCTGCTCACCGGTTCTCCTCGCCCTCCAGCAACTTGCGGTACGTGGCAATTTCCACGTCCAGGGCCATCTTGACATTGAGCAGGTCCTGGTACTCGCGCAGGTGTCGGGCCATCTCATCCTTCAGGTGCCGGATCTCCTCCTCCAGCCGGGCGATGGTGTCCTGGTACCCTCCAGCCTCCCCCGCGAAGCGCTCCTCCATCTCCCTCATCTGGCGCATCAGGGAGTCGTTCTGGGGGAACAGGAGGGCTCAGTGAAGGGGAAAGCCAGAGTGGTAAGTGGTCACCTGAGGTGGGAGCTGGGGATGCTGAGGGGGTCCTAGGGGAGAGCTGGGAACCTGGGGAGAGCTGTGGTCAGCCCTGGGCCAGGTCCAGCTGATGTGGGACCATGATGAGTGGCCGTCATCCTCCGTCAGCCCAGATCTGGGCAGTAGGATCTGGTGGGGGCAAGCTGGGCAAGTGCTGGGCAACCCCAGAACCCTTTGCCCAGGTGCCCATGTCGCCCAGCAAAGCCATCCTACCCCAACAGGAGGGCACAGAGAGGTGCAGGAGCACCTCAGCATGGCTGCCCGAGGGTGGCACTGCCACACTGGTGGCCGCTTGCTGGCTCCTGTCACTGTGACCATGCCAGAGTGGGACTGTTGTGCCCTGTTTGTTTGCAACCACCTTCCCAACTTGCAACCAGACACCGAGCCCTGCGCCCGCCTGCCTGGAGCCTCCCAGTCTAGGGCACATTTTGCAATCTGCGCCTTGACCGCAGGGCTCTGCCAAAACACCCTGCAAACGCCCA